TGAAGGAAGATGTCCAAGCTGCACTAAAAGCACAGGTGAAAAACAAAGTTCCAGGAATTGCTGGAATACCAATCAAGATGTTTCAACAAATGGATGCACTACTAGAAGCACTCATCTACATGAGGGAATATGGAAGACAACCATCTGGTCAATCGAATCAGAGATCCATGTTTGAGACCATTCTAAAGGAAGACGATCCAATAGAATGTAGGAATTATAGAACAGCATCATTAATATCACACACAAGTAATATTTGCTAAAGATAATTAAAAAATGGTTGCAGCAGGACATAGAAAACTGCCAGAAATTCAAGCTGGACTCAGAAGAGGATGTGGAATTAGTGATATCATTGCCAGTTTCAGGTGGAATCTTGGCTGAAAGCAGAGAATACAAGAAAGATGTTTATCTGTGTTTCACTGACAATGCAAAGGCATTAGATTGTGTGGATCATAACATTATACGGACAACATTGCCCAAAACAGGAATTCTAGAACACATAATTGTGCTCATGAGTCATGAGTAACCTGTACATAGACTAAGAGACAGTTGTTTGAACAAGGAATACTTCATGGTTTAATATCAGGAAAGGTGGGCACCAGGTTTGTATCCTTCACCTTACTTATTTTATCTGTATGCTGAGCAAATAATCTGAGAAGCTGGACTACATGAAGACGAATATGGCATCAGGTCTTCCAGTCCTGATGCTGTATTTTTCTTCATATAGCCCAGTCTTTCATTTTCATTACTAAGTGCTTCAAGCCCTCTTTGTTTTCAGAAAGCAAGGTTGTGTCATCTGCATAACACAAAGAAGACTTGAAACACTTACTGATGAAGATCAAAGACCACAACCTTCAGTACAGGTCATACATCAACATAAAGAAAACAAAAATCTCCAAAACTGGACCAAAAAGTAACATCATGATAAATGGAGAAAAGATGGAAGCTGTCAAGAATTTCATTATAGTTGGATCCACAATCAAGCCCATGGAAGCAGCAGTCAAGAAATTTGTTTTGGGTAAATCTTCTGCAAAAAATCTCTTTAAAGGGTTAAAAAGTAAAGATGTCACTTTGAGGGCTATGGTGTGCCTGGTCCAAGCCTTGGTATTTTCAGTACTCTCACATGCATGCAAAAGGTGGACAATGAATAAGGAAGAGTGAAGAATTGATGCATTTGAATTTTTATGTTGGTAAAGAATATTGAATATACCATGGACTGCCAGAAGAATGAGGAAATCTGTCTTGGAAGAAGTGCATCCAGAATGCTCCTTAGAAATGAGGATGATAAAATTTTATGTCATGTACTTTGGACATGTTATTAGGGGGGATCAGTTTTAGAAGAAGAACACCATGCTTGGTAAAGCAGATGGTGATGAAAAATAGGAAGACTCCCAACAAGATGGGCTGACACAGTGGCTGAAACAATGGGCTCAAACATAGCAATGATTGTGAAGATGTTGAAGATGTTGCAGGACTAGGCAGTGTTTCATTCTATTGTAGACAGCATCACTGTTGAGTCAACATCCACTCAATAGCATCTGAAAAAACAAGTAAGTGGAATGAGGCATTGGCCAATAAGTGGTGGGATTCTCATCTGGCCAATGGACCCTCTGTGCAGTCACCACCTGCATGTCAGTGGAAGCTAATGTATTACTACGATGCTGAACAGGTATCAGTAGAGCTTTCCAGACTAAGAAAGAGTAGGAAGAAAAGCCTGGCAATGTACTTCTGAAAACTAAAAACTCTATGGATCACAACCGTCATCACAGGGAAGATGCAGAACCTGACAGTGCTTCATTCTACTGAGCTTGGGGTCACCATGAGTTAGGTCAGAGTCAATGGCAGCTAATAACAACAAAATAAATGGAAAGATGTATTATGTTCATGAGTTTTAAGAATCAATATGGTTCAGATGCTCATTTCTCAACCATTTGATCTAGCAGGGCTTTTTTATTTAATTATTTTTTAAAGAAAGTCGATTCTGACTCATGCACATTAGCCACCTGCACTACCTAGAGATTCCAAGAAATTGTCAAGGCAATTCTAAAATTTACATGGAAATGCAATGGATTTAGAATAGGCAAAACAATCTAGAAATGACAGATGAAATTGAAGAACTTATTACTGTAAAGCTACAAGGATTAAAACAAGTGGATTTATGGAAAAGACTAATCTAGACAGTTCAGAAATGGACCTATACACACACATCAATTACTTTTCACCAATGCACCAATTCAATGAAGAGAGGAAAAGTTTTTAAACAAATGGTGCTGGAACAAGTGAATATTCCTTGAAATTTACCTATAGGTGAGTATTGATTTGAGATGTGCCATAGACATAAACTTGGAAGGAAGATGGGGCGATCTACTTCCGTAGTGATACTGCCTCAGAAACCCAAGGAGGCCTCGCTATGAATCAGAGCCGACTCGACAGCAGTGAGTTTGATTTTTGGTTTTCTAGACCGAAAGGTAAAAGCTAGCACAATAAAGTTTCTACAAGAAAACAGGAGAGATCTTCTTAATCTTCGGGTAGGCACAGGTTTATTAGAGAGGGCACAGAAAATATTAAGTATAAAAGAAAACAAACATTAAATTAGACTGTCAAAATTAAAATATTCATTGTGAAAAGGAGTTATCATTTCACATCCAGTAGAATGGCTAAAATAAAAAAAGACTGACAACATCAAACGTTGGTGAAGGCGTAGAGAACTGGAACTTTCATCTATTGCAGGTGGCAGTGTAAAATGGTACAACCATTTTGGAAAACTATTTGGCAATTGGTATTTATTTACTCTATGATCCAACAATATGACTACTAGGCTTTTATCCAGGAGAAATGTAAGCATATGACTTGTATAAGAATGTTTATAGGCCTTATTCATATGAATCTCAAAGTGGAAACACTCCACATGAGTGCCAACAGGAGAACTAATAAATACATTTTGATATATTTAGGTAATGGCATACTACTTAGGAATAATAAACGATCTATTAATACATGTAACAAATGGGTGCATCTAAAAAAAAAAAAAATACTATGTTAAGCAAAAGAAGCCAGGCACAGAAGATTACATACTAAATTACTCCATTTACATGAAGGACAAAAATAGGCAACACTAATGTAGAAAACAGCTAGTGGTTGCCTGTAGGGTGGAGAGGGGTTTGGCTGGAAAAGGATAATGAGGAGTCTTTCTGGGCCGATGGACATGTTTTATATCTCATTTTGGCTGGAGGTTTCATGACTGTATACAGTTGTCAAAATTTCTCAAACTGAACATCTAAAATATATCATTTTATTGCATGTAAATTATAACCTAATTTAAAAAAGAAAGCCCAGGATAAAAGAGCATGCGGTGTTTATGGACACAAATGATAAATATACTCAGAGGTGATGGTTAATTCTTCTTTGAAATTCTATCCCATAAAACAAGGCTCCAATTATTCCTGTATTTTAACCCATAATGATGAAAGAGTTATTTATTCTCCATGAATTATTCCCATAATCTGACTCACAATGATGATGAATTATTTAGGACCAATTAAAGTCCTTCCTTGGGGTTGAAAACATCAAAATCAATGAAATAAATCTTATCTGGAATAGAACAATCTAAGATATGTAAAAGTTAAATATTAGCAGCATCTGACAAAGGAAATGCCATCTATCTTTAAAAGCTTTGGTTGGTAGAAAAAGAATAATTTGGTTATGGAGAGCTATCCAAGTAAGTTTCCATACTCTGGACTATTCTCACTATTACTTTATACACAATAAATTTTACCAAAAAAAAAAAAAAAAAAAATCCTACACATAAAAAAAAATAATAATTGTCATCTGAAAACAAATGGATGGTGACCAGTCATTCATTATAGGATGACATAAAGAATGCATTAATCCTTTAATCTCCCTTTTAGATGATTTACTTCTATAGGCAAGGAGTAGTATCTCTTGAAACTAATTGGGAATCTAAGCCAGAGTCTTGAAAATAATAGATTTTCAAACATTATGCCCACTGCCATCAAGTCAACTCCAACTCATAGCAACCCTATAGGACAGAGCAGAACTGCCCAGAGGGTTTCCAAGGCTGTAAATCTTTATGGAAGCAGACTGCCTCATCTTTTTCCTACAGAGTGGCTGGTGGGTTTGAACAGCCAACCTTTTGGTTAGCAGCCAAGTGCTTAACCATTGTGCTTTCAGGGCTCCTTCAATATTTTTTAGTAGAATTAAATTAATTAATCCATGTATTTACTGATTAGTTAGAATTTATGTTCAAGTGATATGTTCCTATATTGTGAAATTTATTTAAACTATTTTACAATCTCTTCATACAAAGGCTGTGGTGTTTTGTTTTTTTCATATGAAAGAGCTTTGGTAGCATAGTAGTTAAAGCATTTGGCCACTAATCAAAAGGTGAGCAGTTTGAACCTACTAGCTGCTCTGCAGAAGAAAGATAAGGCAGTCTTGCTTCTGTAAAGATTTACAGCTTTGGAAATCCTATAGGGCAGTTCTAGTCTGCTCTAGAGGATCACTAGCAGAATTGACTTTGTTTTTTTTCTTCATATAAAATGTTTGGACCACTAATGATCTCATTTAGTAATTTATGAGGAAAGTATTTAAAAAGTGTATTAGATGATATTAGATGATAATTCAACTAACCCCAGTTTAGAAATAGCCATACTGTAATTACCTGACTAGATTATTTATAAAATATAGAAAAAGTACACTTGTTAAAAATATAAAAGCACAAATGAAAAAACCCCCACTGAGTCTCATTTCAGGCTCCATGTGAATATCTAAATAATTATAAAGTAAAGGCTCCAACTACCATGTGATCATTGTTTTGAACTGAACATCACATTTGCAAGACAGAAAAGCCTGTGAGCAGAGAAGGAAATTTTTATGCCAGTGATAGAACCACCACGAGAGAGAATTATTCTGTTGGCAGCTGAGAAATCAGGGGATTCTTTCTGTGAAAGCCAGGAGTCCTTTAGATCACACATGTGAGAGCATTTGTGATGTTTAGCAGACAGCCTTTCTTTCAAGATTTTCCCACTGCTTTCTTTTCTGAGTATAAGAGGTTCAAGTTGGCTAATACTGTTTTCTAGTTATCCCAGGAACCTCCTGAATGCCATGGGCTGTCATCATGAAGATGGTTGGCAAGACATCAAATGTGAATATCTTGTTCTAAATGGGGACTCCCACGATCATGTTATTTTTGGGAGAGCAGCTCTCTGGCTCCATGGATATCACTTGGACGGAGTAACCACGTTCTTCTGCAGCTCGTGCTCGATCCAGATCCACTAGGCACATGCACTGTTTTCCTGAAACACAGTAAAATGGTATCATGAGACTAACCACTAATAGTTCAGCTTGTTTAAGGGAGTCTAGACAGTGACAAAACCCACATGTACTATGGAGAATGCCGCTTTCTGCAAAGTCCTGTTAGTCTCTTTCAATTTAGTTCTTGTCCAATATGGAGAGAAGGAACTTACAAAAAACCCAATGCTACTGAGTTGATCCCAATTCATTACAAGCATCTCACATTTCCCAGAATTGTCTCTGATGATAGTTTAAAGATTGTTAATCTTTAAAAATGTGTTTATGAACAAATCATAACTAAATGAAAAGCACAGATTTTATATCTCATTTTGGTTAAAAATCCATTCAAAGTCCTTTTCTTAGCATTCCTTGTGAAAATATATAATCTGTAATATTGTGGAAAATAACATCTGTTTTTAAGAATATTTAAAGTAACATGTTGACAAAGAGGAATCTAAAAGACAGGCTATATTTTCTACCTGAAGTTTTCTAGGGCAATGAAGAATATGAAACGGGAATATTTGAGAAAAGTCTTTTTGTGTGCTGCTTACTTTTGGTGAATCGACACAATGGCAACGAGTTTGGTTTTTTTTGTTTCCTTTTGGTAGATATGTAATGTGTTTAATGTGTTCTTAATTTTCAGAGCTTCTATACTGCTAGAAAATAGTAGTATTAAATTTTCTGTATAGTCTCTGGAAAAAAAAAAAAAACGAAACCTGACTTGCAAGCAAAATGGTTAATTTGTTTTCCTTTGGCAAATACCAACTTCTATTTCAAAAGTAACTCAGGAGAAAAACAATTTGGGGCTGAGTACATGCAAAGCCATACTTTGCTTTTACACTTTCAATTGCTTTAAATTCAACAGATAAACTTCTTCATTCTCTTAGAAAAAAGGTCACTGACAATGCAGAACTTCATTGTATATTTTTCTCAATAACTGTAATAATATCTAATCATTATTTTAAAATAACTTATTTGAATAACAGCAGAAATTGTTAACTGCTAACCTTTGGAAGTGAAGACTGAAATAGAAAAGTTCATCTGTGGAAGATGGAATTCTTACAGGAAAAACAGTGAAGGTGAAATCAGTAGGTAAGAATTGTCAACAAGAGACTCAAATTTAAAATGTTTATTTTGTACATTTTCCTCAAAAGAACTCATGGCAGGAAAATGAACTGTGTTAGAAATGATATAAAAAGAGATTTCCAGAATCCCATTTAGCCCAAATCACCTCCTCTTCATCAACAGGGCTGTATGGCTGACATTCTTCTTTCCCTTAAAATATTGTCCTTCCATTAAGACATCTGTAAAATGTGTCTCACATCTATTTCTCAATTTGAAAGGAAGCATTCTCTGTGAGAACGAGATGCTCAGCATTCTTCTAGTACCCACCCTGGGTTTATATTGCAACTCATTGACCCTTGGCTTTGATCCCAGCCAAGTTAATTTTTCCTTTTCCATGACGTAGAAGAATCTCATGTTTTCACATGTTGAACAAGTGTCTTTATAGCTTCATTTGTTGGTAATTTACTTTTTAGAACCTGGTAAGCTTCCTGAAAATGGCCACAGAATATAGGAATGGCCTGTGCAAAGCACAGACATAGATATTTGATAGATTCTATGACTTTCCTTGAACCTCATTCCCCTCCCTTTCCCACCCCTCTGCCAGGGATCAGGGCAAATGTTCCTCCCCCTCAACTCCAGCACCATCTTTTCCACTCACTCCTTTCCTGTTTGATGTCTAAAGCACACATCAATCAAGCACACACCCATCTACCATACTAATGTCCTCAATGAACCTAGTGGAGTTGTATCAAAGGGACGTTCTATTAATTCAAATAATTAGGATGGAAAAGGGAGATGAAAGGGAGAAAGAGAGTCAAAGACAAAGTGCCTTTATAAAAGAGAGCAAGCACTTTCCTTCAATTTATGCCCCACAGTGTGACAAAGAGAAGGGAATCGAATGTTGCCTCAGTCAGTCTCAGTGTGTACATGTCTCTTCATGCTGACTGATTTTTAAGTTAAAAGATATCTGGTTTTCATACAGCATGGTCCCTGAATGTGAGCTAACTACTTCTTTTGGTGTTCAGCCAAAAAACAGCAATCTTCCAGAGAAATCAGGCTGTGCTGCAATTATGGAGAAACAGTGTGATGGTCATCAATGTAGAGTTTTTCCAAATAAGCATTAATATTAGTTTTGACTTCAGTAAATCATCTTAATCCCTGATTTTAGAACCAAACGTTTCAACAGAATATGTGACTCCAGAGTGCTGGGAGGCAGTATTGCAAAAGCGGGTAAGAGCTTCAAATAATTGGGTATATATCATGACTTCATTATCTATCAGCTGAAGGACTCTAGAAGAACTCTTCATCTCAGTTCTCTCATTTGTAAAATGTAAATAATGGTGCCTACCTTGTAAGTATTTTTGTAAAGAATTTACTAATATAATAAAATAAAAAAACCCATGGCCATCAAGTTAATTCTGACTCATAGAGACCCTATAGGACAGAGTAGAACTGTTCCAGAAGGTTCCCAAGGCTGTTATTCTATGGAAGCAGACTGCCTCATCTTTCTCTACAGAGCCGCTGGTGGGTTTGAACTGCCAACCTTTTGGTAAGCGGCTGAATGCTTTAACCACTGTGTCACCAAAGCTTCTTACTAAGATAATAGGTGGAGGATATTTAGCTCACTATGCTTAAATGTTAGCTGCTATTATTCCTCTGAATAAGATTTCTTTTTCTAATTAATTACTTAATGAACTTGAAATGCTTCTGTGTGTCTTCCAATTTAGGTAATGTTTAATATTATAAATGTCAAATAAATTGGTCTATGATTAATGATATACAAGCATATTTATTTCTGAGAAAGAAAATGTTATCCTTGTTTATACTTTTCTTTCAATGCATTAATTTTGGCAGGCATAGTTGACTATTCCATCATTAATATTTTCTTTTGTGACTCTGGATAGATCCCTCAGTTTGTTCATAATAGAAAAAAAAAACATTTAACATTACCATTCTATTCAATGTATAAATATTGAAAATGTATTTAAAAATATTAATATTAACCAAAATGGGATAAAATGTTATTATAGTTTCAAAGCTCTCTTCAATATGGATTAAATTTTCTGAGAAAAAGAAACATTAGTTCTTTGTTGATAAATGAACCTTTTTTTCCCATATAGAGGAGCTCTGGTTGTGTAGTGCCTAAGGCATTTGACTGCTAACCAGAAAGCTGGCAGTTCAAACCCACTGGCCACTCCTCAGAAGGAAGACTGGGCAATCTACTGCTGTAGAGATACCACATTAGAAACTTAAGGTGGGGTCGCTATGAGTTGGAACCATTCCTAGAATCATTGCTGGGGATAGTGTGCATAATCTACCCGACAGCTGCTGTAAAACACATACCTATTAGCCTGCGTTGGGGTGGGAGCTGGACAGCTGTCTGATCTGCAAATCTGCACAGAATCATATGTTCCTAGAAAAAAGAGCAATAGAATATGGGCTTATTTTAATCTTTTGCGTTAAAGTTGTAAAAAAAAATAAATAAATCAAACCTACCATGCTTTTCTGGAATACTATACTGCTTAACTGAATAAAGTGCTACATCAATAAATACCCATTGTGTTGAGTTGATTCTGGTTCATAGTGCCCCTATAGGACAGAGTAGAACTGATCCACAAGGTTTCCAAACTTTAAGTATTTATGGAAGCAGATTTTCTCCCTTGTAGCAGCTGGGGGGATCTGAACCACTAAATTTCTGGTTACCAGCTGAGCACTTAACCACTGTGCCACCAAAGCGCCTTTGGTACATAAACAGTACTTTAAAAAGAAGTAAACTTTCCGGAAATGGTACTCAACATCTTTCTTCCTTCAATTACACTGGTCATCCAAAAGAAAGAGGAAATTATTGAACAATATCATTGATATCACATGCAAGTACAGTTTTGCTGAAGATAATTATAAAATGGTTGAGCAATACATTGACAGAGAACTGCCAGAAATTCAAGCTGGATTCAGAAGAGGACTTGGAATGAGGGATAACACTGCTGATGTCAGATGGATCTTAGCTGAAAATAGAACATCAGAAAGATGTTTAGTTGTATTTTATTGACTATGCAAAGGCATTTGACTGTGTGGATCATAATAAATTATGGATAACATTGGGAAGAATGGGGATTCCAGAATACTTAATTGTGCTCAAGTGGAACCTGTACATAGGCCAAGAGGCAGTTGTTTGATCAGAACTAGGGGATACTGAGTGATTTAAAATCAGGAAAGCTGTGAGGGTTGTATCTTTTCACCATACATATAAATCTATATGTTGAGCAAATAATCTGAGAAATCAGACTTCATGAAGAAGAACTCGCATGCAGATTGGAGGAAGATTCATTAACAACCTGCAATATGCACATGACACAATCTTGCTTCTGAAAGTGAAGAGTATATGAAGCACTTACTGAAGAAGATAAAAAACTACAGCCTTCAATATGGATTATATCTTAACATAAAGAGAAGAAAAACTGACACAATTGGACCAATAAGTAACATCATGATAAATGAAGAAAAGACGGAAGGTATCAATCATTTCATTTTACTTGAATCCACAGTTAATACCTATGAAAGCAGCAGTCAAGAAATCAAACTACATACTACATTACACCAACGTGCTGCAAGAGACATTTTTAAAGTGCTCAAGCAAAGATGTCACTTTGAAGACTAAGGTGTGCCTGACCCAAGCCAAGTTTATTTCAATCACCTCATATGTATATAAAAGCTGGACAATGGATAAGGATTGATGCATTTGAATTATGATGTTGGTGAAGGATATTAAATGTATTGTGGACTCCCAGGAGAATGAACAAATGAACAAATATGCCTTGGAAGAAGTTCAGCTGGAATGCTCCTTAGAAGCAAGAACAGCCAGACTTGGTTTCTCATGGTCTGGTCATATTATCATAAAGGACTAGTTCCTGGAGAAAGCAGGCCCTTTACAAGATGAATGACACAGTGGCTGCAATCATGGACTCCATCATAGCAATGATTACGAAGATGGCAGAGGACTAGGCATTGTTTTGCTCTGTTGTACACAGGATCTCCATGGGTTGGAAATGACTTGATAAAACCTAACAACAAGAATCCAAACTAATTCATCAACTATTAATGGAGTTATTTTTGTATTTCTTTCAAATAATATTTTTTATTTCTTAAATTGCATCATGTAATGTTTGACCAATTAATTAGGTAGTAGTGATGTTGAAAAATCTGGAAATTGTTTTGCTCTGATCAGTAACTCAAAACTATATAGTGTAATGTTCTGACTATTGCTGGAAGATAGGTCTGCATGGTCCTCTTGTGTTTCTTTATGCCTTGTGAGCAGGGCACTCACTGACTTTGTTCCAGACCAGGGGTCAGCAAATTATAATCCATAGGCCAAATCTGGGCTATAACCTGTTTTTATATGGCTCACAAGTTAAGAATGGTTTTTACATTGTTAAAGTGTTGTGAAAAACAACAAAAAAACATAACATTGATGACAATGGCAATGAAGAAGGATACGTGAAAGGCAAAACCTAAAATATTTACCAAAGAGCTCTGGTAGTGTAGTGCCTAAGGCACTTGACTGCTAATCAGAAGGCTGGTCGTTCAAACCCACCAGCCACTCTTCGGAAGGAAGGTTGGGCAATCTACTTCTGTAGTAATACCACCTCGGAAACCCAAGGAGGGGTTGCTATAAATTGGGTCAGACTTGAGGACACAAAACAACAACAATAACAGCAACAACAGGATTTTATAGAAATGTTTGCACCTTTTCTATGTGATCTTTTAAAGGGTATTTATATAGTAAAAACTGGAAGATATAGTTTCTCCTTCTAGAACAAAGAGCTGGCATGCTTACTGCCCATTATAAAAAGTCCAGATTCCCTAAGCTCAGGATTTCTCTCCCATAATGAAACTTACTGTGTGTGTAGGTATCACTTGGCCCTTTTTGTGCTGCCCTGTGGGCACTGGACCTCAAGAAGCCAGTGCAAAAATGATAATACTCTGACTACTGATATTGCCAAGAATAATAAACTGTCATTTGTCTCTGATAGAGGTGTCTCATAACTTCTGTGAGCATCTGTGAAACTGTCAAGCTAACTTGTTATCTTCCAAGTGGGGTAAAATCTCTGTCATTGATAATTATATTTGAAGAGTTAATCTGGATTATTGTTTTTTAAATGCCATACTAGTTGCTAATGGGTAATTCCAATGTAACTATAGATTATAACTCCATTAGAAATTTGAAAGGGAAAATATAAAGAAGGGATAAAAAGTGTATTAGTGTATTAGGAAGACCCGTTAGATCTTTACAATACCTTGTATGATAGAGTTCCTTTGAATTGTTCACTGAAATGGAAAAGAAAACGGAATTAGTCATCATTTTAAAGATGAAATATTAAGAGTAAAAATAATCTTATAAAAACTTATAAAGTTCTTACAGAAACTTATAAATTATAAAGAATAGAATGCATTTTATCTGAAGAATACAAAATGCCACCCCACAGTAAAAAATATACTCACTTGTAATGTCTTTATAGAAAGACAAGGCATATCATTTTATGTCATTAGTTGTAAAGAATTTCTTCCCCAGATTGTTTGTACTGTTACAGAAGCACAACTTATTTTTTTTTCCCTTTTTTTTTCTCTTTCTTGATGGATACACAGAGATCCAGGAAGTCAGCGCTGTCACAACCATTAAATACACAAACATATATCCCATAAACATTGTCCTTTATTAATGCTGTATTCTAGGCTCCCAAAACATGTGGTGATACATATAGTGCTAAATTCATATTAGCATCAATTAGTTTGTTTGAAATTAGTACTTTGTCTCCATATATTACAGAAATAGTAAAGTATTTATAAATTCCCTACTCTATCCTTAGTAACTGGGATAGGTCTTATACACAACAGAGAAACAAACTATATAAAGATTTCATTTCCAAGGACCAGAAGGAAAATGTCAATAAATCTACAAATATGCAAAAAAAAGCTGACACTAAGCTGAGACTTTAATATCAGTTAAATTAGACTGCAGACTGAAGAAGTCAAATTAGCATTCTTAAAATTCTTTACAAATTTCTTGAGGGGAAAAATATACATTTTATTAGTATAGATTAAAATAAAATAAAACTTCCATGATATTGCCATGAGCAATAAATAAGCTTCAGATTATATTTTATTTTTTTGCTTTTCAATATTTCCTGTGGTTTTCTTTCAGTTAGTTGTAAGTGGCAGGAAAGAACAAAATAATGAAAGATGAAGAAAAAGAAGGCTCTTTGTATTTTTTTTTTACTTTAAACTATTTATACAGAAAACTTAAAGAATAAATTCTAGTGGAAATAGTCTAAGGTTTCTTAAAAGTAATGATGCAACAGATCAAGAAGCCTCTTTTGACACATTTTAGGTTAGACTTTGGAAAGCTAATCATATTTTAATCTATGCTTAATACGATCATCATGATTCTCAGTAAATATGAACTACAGAGAAATGTCATAAACACAATAAAGGAGTGAGAAGTAAAATGTCTCCATTCTTTATGTGGAATAAGAAGAACTGTAAATATGACTTTAATCATCAATACTCACAGGCAGGATTAAAAATACCATCACTACTCCTGTTATTAGCAAAGTTCATATTTATTTAGTACTTACCTTATGATATTTCTAAGTGCTTTGCCTATATAATTAAATTCTCACAAAAACCTTGAGGTAGTGACTATTATAATCCCCATTCTGCAGATGAGAAAATGTGGGCCAATGGGTTTAAGTAAACTGCCTGAGGTAAAACAATTTAAAAAAGGTTGAGGAGCCAGAATTTGTACTTATGCAGTAAACTTCCATATCCCATACACTTAACCACTATGTTCTATTGACTCTCATAGATACATTTTCAGTTTCATTTGCTAGTCAGCAAGAACTGCATCCAGGAGAAAAAATAGGGATAGACACAGAGGAGATCCTTTCTTCCAATTTATAAACAATACTTGGTGTTATAAAAGAAGAAATGAGCTCAAAACTGAAAGAAAGCTCATTGCAACTTTATGCCTAATAAGCTTCATACAGGAGCTCTGATAGCATAGTGCCTAAGGCACTTGACTGCTAACCTGAAGGCTGGCGGTTCAAACCCACCAGCCACTCCTCTGAAGGAAGGTTGGGCAATCTACTTCCGTAGTGATACCACCTTGGAAACCCAAGGAGAGGTCACTATGAGTTGGGTCTGACTCCATGGCACAAAACAACAACACAAGCTTCATATATTGGCTTATCCCACATTAGTGTCTTAGGTAGGCACTCAATTTCACCTTTTTGGAAAATTAAACTTTGAGGTATTCTGAATGAAACCGTAACAGCAAGGGCATGTGACAAAGGAAGCCCGCACTTTGATGCAGTGCTCAATCACCATGTCTGTTGCCACTCCACAAGCATGCAACGCCACCTGGAAAACAAAACCAGACCTTAGAACTAAGTTCTTTCTTAACCAACAGTGATATTTCTAATTTGTATATATCAAAGAGGAGCTCTGGTAGCACAGTGCCTAAGGTATCTATCTGACTGCTAACCAGAAGGTTGGTGGTTCAAATGCAACAGCCACTCTGTGGAATCTACTTCCATAAACATTTACTGCCTTGGAAACCCAATGGGGGCTGCTATGAGTCAGAATTGACTAAATGGCAGTGTTTTTTTTTTTTTTTTTTTTTTCTGATGTATCAAAGAACAATTTAGCAATTCCTATTAAGAAAATTAAGCAAGGTTGAAAGATTATAAATGAAACATGGAAAATGAAGCATAAGGTTCATTCCATGGGAACTCTGATGACATCTTAAGATGTGAAAAATTTAGTACTTATGCATGTCTAAACTAATGCTCTTGCTGATTATGAATTAAATTTAGTTGTAGCATTGTGGCAAGGACACTAGATTTGAAACAGTACTATACTAACTGCTGGGAATACAAAGATAAATAATATGGTTCCTTTTTCTATATACTTTGTCAACAGTACCAACTGAATCCGAAATATTTAATACAGTCACCCTCTCAACTTAATGTGAGAATTGTATAGGTTTAAGCAACACAAAGTTCTGGCTATTTTTATGTTTACCATGTGTAGCTTACTGTTAGGCACTGCAGGGAATATTGTTGGTAGTTGTCATTTGTTGTTATGTGCCGTCGAGTCGTACCAGACTCATAGCGACCCCTCCTTGGGTTTCTGAGGCAGTATCACTATGGAAGTAGATTGCCCCATCTTCCTTCCGATGAGTGGCTAGTGGGTTTGAACTGCCAGCCTTCTGGTTAGCAGTCAAGAGTCTTAGGCACTATGGCAACCACATGTGACCCTACGCAGGGAATTTAAGGAAGAGTAAAACACTACATGGGAGTCCTGGTGGTGCAGTGGATAAGCACTCAACTGATAATAGAAAGATCGGCAGTCTGAACTACCAGAGGAGAAAGATGTGGCAGTCTCTTCTGTAAGACTGTTGTTATTAGATGCCATTGAGTTGGTTCTAACTCATAAAGACCCCATGTACAACAGAACAAAACACTGCCCAGTCCTACACCAAATTCACAATCATTGCTATGTTAGAGCCCACTGTTGCAGCTGCTGTGTCAATCCATCTTTTGAGGTTCTTCCTCTTTTTCGCTGACCCACTACATTATGAAGCATGATGTCTTTCACCAGGGACTGGTCCCTCTTGATAACATGTCCAAAGTATGGGAGATGAAATCTTGCAGTCTTCACTTTTAAGGAGCATTGTGACTGAACTTCTTCCAACATAGATGTGTTAGGCTGGGTTTTCTAGAGAAGCAAAACCAGTAAAGCATATATATATAGAGAGAGAGAAATTTATCTTAGGAAAACGGCTCCCACACTTATAAAAGCTGGCAAGTCCCAAGTTCCTGGATCAAATGTCAAACTGGAGGCTTTTCCCAACTCACCCAGCTACAGGGGCTGATGAGCTCGAAGTTGGCAGGCAATATACCAGTTGTTGACTCCGGTGGATAATGAAGCCAAGATCACCAGGGCGAATGGTGGATTGTTTGTTCACGGGCAGTTGAAGGCACCACAACAGGACCCAGATCCACAGAAGATTTGCTCATTTTCTCAGGATGTCCATATATATATATATATTGGAAGCAGGCCACACCTCTAGGGAAACTTCCTTTCAATGGATTGGCTACTCAGAACATATACATCTGATCTTATCATGGGAAAAACCACATCACAACTGCTTAAACCACTCAGAATCATGGTCCAGCCAACTTGACACACAACCTCAACTATCACAGTCCACTCCTTGTCAATTTGGCAGTTGGACACATCTCCTTAACCACACATAATCTCTGAATAAGGACAATTATAAAGTAATATTTGTGCTTAACATGATACACTAAAACACATACAACCAAAACACATTAACCCTGTTTATATTTCATAGTTCATAACTGAAGAAAACAAAAATGTTTGATGCACATAACAATGAAGAAATATAACAATCACAGTCCTCATTTCTGCAACTAGTCACGTGGTAGTAGCTGATATTCAGAACCACTTTCTTCTACCACTCATTCCATATTTCTCTTGCCCTCAGCAAGCACTTGAGCTGGTCGTGATTCTTTGCCTAGTGGGGTGACCCAAACCTTCATTCCTGAAGGATATGGGCCATTAGCAGTCATATCAGAATTGGGTTGCTGTAATTTTCTATTGACTTTAATCACAGGGCATGGTAGTAGTAAGAGATGTCTTAAAGAATCTCCTGTATTCCAGACATATTCTTCTTTATTTCCTTTATGTAATATCAGTGCAATTTCCCCTTGGTAATCAGGATTTATCACATCAGAGAGTAAAGTGACACCCTTCTTTCTCTATTGATCCAGAGGCATGAGGAAGCCAAAATGGCCAGGTGGCATTCCAGTTCAATGCAATCAGTATTATGTTTCCAGGTGGGAGTGTTCCTCCCTTTGGGACTAAGATCTCCAGACCCGCAGAGCATAGGGTAGCAGGGGCAGGAAGCAAAAACTGTTTGAGTGGGTCACTACAGGTAATAGTGGTACCACTGCCATTTCCACCCCTTGGTTCCTGGGCCTGTGAATGCTGGCTATTGGAGAAATAGCACAAGGTATTGGATGCTGATTTAGAGCATATACAGCCTCCTGGAGAATACTGCCCCAACCCTTCAAGCTATTACTACCTAGCTAGCACCATAATTGTGTTTTTAGTAGGACATTCCATCGTTCTATCAAGCCAGCTGCTTCAGGATGATGGGGAACATGGTAAGACCATTGAATTCCATGTGCATAGGCCCATTGCTGCATTTCACTTGCTGTGAAGTGAGTCCTTTGGTCCAAAGCAATGCTGTGTGGGATACCATGATGGTGCATAAGGCATTCAGGAAGTCCATGGATGGTAGTTTTGGTAGAAGCATTGTGGGCAGGGAGGGCAAATCAATATTCAGGATAAGTATCTATTCCAGTAAGAAAAAAACTCTGTCCTTTCCATGATGGAAGTGGTCCAATGTAATCAACTTGCCACCAGGTTGCTGGCCAATCACTCTGAGGAATAGTTCCATATTGTGGGCTCAGTGTTGGTCTCTGCTGCTGGCAGATGGGGCATTCAGCAGTGGCGTAAGCCAAATCAGCTTTGATAAGTGGTAGTCCATGTTGCTAAGCCTATGCATAACCTCCATCCCTGCCACCATGGCCACTTTGTTCATGAGCCCATTGAGCAATGACAGGAGTAGCTGGGGAGAAAGGATGACTGGTTTCCACTGAACGTGTCATCCTATCCACTTGATTATTAAAGTCCTCCTCTGCCAAGGTCACCTTTTGGTGGGCATGCACATGAGACACAAATATCTACTCTTTTGTCCATTCAGAGAGATCTATCCTCATACCTCTTCCCCATACCTCCTTTTCTCCAGTTTTCCAGTCAAGGTCCTTCCAAGTCCCAGACCATCCAGCCAAACCATTGGCCACAGCCCATGAATCCATATACAATCGTACATGTGGCCATTCCTTGTTCTATGCAAAGTGAACAGCCAGATGCATGGCTCGAAGTTCTGCCCATTGGGAGGATTTCCCTTCACCACTGTCCTTCAGGGAAGTCCCAGAAAGGGGCTGCAGTGCCACTATTTCCTACTTTTGAGTGTTGCCTGCATATCTCTTAGAACCAGGCACGAGTTTTCTCTTCCTAATTAACTGATCACAAGAAACTCCCCATGATGTCCTAGGTGCAGACTGGGAGAGGGAAGGTAATGTGACTGGAGTGGAGACCATAGGCATTTGGGCCACTTCCTCATGCAACTTACTTGTGCCTTCATAAAGATTTACTGCCTTGGAAACACAATGGAGGCTCATTATGAGTCAGAATCGACTCACTGGCAGTGGGCCTGGTTTTTTTTTTGTTAGTTTGTTTGTTTGGTCAACACCATAAGTCAAAGGCATCGAGATTCTTCTTCAGTTATTGTTGTTGTTGTTGTTAGGTGCTGTCAAGTTGTTTCCGACTCATAGCGACCCCATGCACAGCAGAACAAAACACTGCCCAATCCCGTGCCAGCTCCATGAAACTTGCTATACTTGAGTCCATTGTTGCAGCCACTGTGTCAATCCATCTCATTGAAGGCCTTCTCCTCTTTCGTCGACCCTCCACCTTACCAAGCATGACGTCTTCTTCAGTAGGCCTTCCTTATTCATTGTCCAGCTTTCACATGCATATGAGGCAACTGAAAATATCATGGCTTGCGTCAAGCCTTAGTCCTCAAAGTGACATCTTTGTTTGCTTTTTTAACACTTTAAAGAGGTCTTTTGTAGCAGAATTGCCCAATGCAACACGTCATTTGATTCCATATGCTTCCATAGGTATTGATTGTGGATCCAAGTAAAATGAAATCCTTCACAGCTTCAATCTTTTCTTAGTTTATCATGATGTTCTTTATTGGTCCAGTTGTGAGGATTTTTGTTTTCTTTATGTTGTTAGTTGCCATCGAGTGAATTCAACTTATGGCAACTGCATGAGGTGTAATCAATACTGAAGCTGTGTATAGTATTTAATCTTCCTCAATAAGTGCTTCAAGTCCTTTTTGATTTCAGCAAGCAAGGTGTATTATCTGCATATCACAGGTTGTTAATGAGTCTTCTTCCAATCCTGATGCTGTGTTCCTCTTCATATATTCCAGCTTCTCAGATTATCTGTTCAGCATACAGATTGAATAAGGATGATGGAAGGATACAACTCTGGCACACACCTTTCTTGATTTTTAAACTCCTTGTTCTGTTCAAATTACTGCCTCGTAGTCTATGTACAAGAACTCTGGTGACATAGTGCCTAAAGCATTTGACTGCTAACCAGAAGGCTGCTAGTTCAAAACCACCAGTCACTCCATGGAAGGAAGACTGGATAATCTACTTCTGTAAAGATTTACCACCTCAGAAACCCAAAGG